CCAGCACAATGGGGCCTTTAGCTTTTTACATATTGAATTTGAGCTGGAAATGTTTGGAAAGAATGTTCACATGTGAATCTTTAGCTTAGGAGAGAAATATGGGCTAGAGATCAGGATTTGAGAGTCATCAATATAGGTGACAATCGGTAATAGCCACAGGTTGAGAGTCACACGGTCAACCATGGAGAGTAAGAAAGGAGAATAATGCCAGAGATAGATAGCAGCTGTGTAGGAAGGACCAGACAAGTAGGAGGAAAAGTAGGGGAGGAGAATATTGTTGAAGCCAAGAGAAAAATCAAAGAGAAACAGTGTCCAGGGAGTCAGAGAAGTCAAAGAGTAATGGGGCTGGAAAATACCATTTGGATCTAGCAGTTTAGAGGATGTTGGTAACCATGTCCAGGAGGAGTTTGGACTGAGTTTGATTGGGGATTTTAGATTGCAGTGAGAACACTTGTAATAGCCTTGTTTGTGGAGAGGAGAGAAGACTGGTTGGGGGAAAAGTGACCCAGGGAGGGATTTGAACTTCTTCCCTTTGATGAGCATCTAAATCAGGTAGACTGCATAGAGAAAGAGAGAGAGAGATAGTTGATTTGGTTTGTTTGTTTATTTTAATTGTTTTAGAGATTTTGTATATAAATCTGTATTATTGAATTTTAGATTTAGAAGACTAAACATTGGAGGAAGATTTTCATAATATTAAAAAAAAAACAAAAAACTTTCTCTCAGGAAAAAAAATAGATAAAATTGCTTATTACCAGTTGGTGGCAAACCAAAGCCAACCCAAACTCACTGGCATTGAGTCCGATCTGACTCATAGCAACCCCTCCTTGGGTTTCCGAGGTAGTATCACTATGGAAGTAGATTGCTTAATCTTACTTCTGAGGAGTGGCTAGTGGGTTTGAACCACCAGTCTTCTGGTTAGCATTTAAATACCTTAGGCACTGCGCCACCAGCGCTCCAAGAGGATTGAAAAATAGGCACTTTTGTACATTGACATTGGGAATACACTTCTGTAGAGCAGTTTCTCAACCTTCCCAGTGTTGACGTTTTGGGCCAGATCATTCTTTGTTGTGAGTAATTGTGTAGGATGATTAGCCGCATCCCTGAGCTCTGTCCTAGAAGTTAGTAGCACCCTCTTCCAATTTGTAACAACTAAATATGTCTTCATGAGGGTCAGAATTGCCCCTGGTTTAAAACCCTTTTGAAGGGCATTATTTCAGTGTCTACCAAGAGTAAAATGATGCACCGTGAATTATGCAAAAGGATGAGGCTGGATCAATACTTCATACTATATAAAAATAAACTAAGAATGGACCAGGGATCTAATTGTGAGATCTAAAACTGTGAAACTGTTAGATGAAAAGACAATATTGCATCCACAATACATGCCCATAGAAGGGAAATAAATGCCCAGCAGTCAGGAAATCAAATGAAGTATTGCATTGGGCAAATCTGCTGCAAAATTGTTAAAAAGCAAAGTTGTCACTTTGAGAACTGCGGTGTAGTAAATTACATAGTGTGGCTTTTTTAGCCATAAGTCTTTGTAAACTCTGTGGTGGCATTTGCTGTGACCAGCTGAGTAGCTCCTGATTGTTAAACTTATCCACCTGGGGTATTTCTGTTGGAAGCAACATGAAGTAATTTTCTGGGAAGTTCGCTCTCAGGTGTGTAGAACTCTAATGTGGGATTGATTGGTTTGGGCCACTCTGCCAGGCTCAAACAGAGCCCTCCTAGAGGCAGAAGGAGTCTCTCTGACTGCAAAAGACATGCTGAGAGAAGCAACGCTCCTGAGAGACATGAGAGAGACACGCTGCTGAGAGAGAGATGTGAGAGACATGCACTGCTGAGAGAGACACAAGAGACATGCACTGTTGAGAGAGAGACGCAAGAGGCACACACTGCTGACAGAGTAATGTGCTACTGAGACTGCCAGTTTCTGAGTAAGATGGCCAGATGAGAGAGAGACTGATTGATTTCTGATCTTGAATTGTAGCCTGATGCTTCCCTAATAAACCCCACAATGTGTGAGTTCTGGGTGGCCACTGCAGCAAATTATCAAACCCAACAGAGAGGTGGTAGGTGCTGCGGGAAGAACGGTTGGTGTCAGGGTTAGCGAAAGGGCTGGAGGGAGGCAGCATGTCTGGCCTTGCAGGAATAGGCCTTGGGCTACTGATGGTGATTCTGTCTTCCTCCTGTGGGATTAGAGGAGGTTAGAAGGTGGGGCCTCCTTGCCCCTTTGGTAAGAACTAGTGTACTGACCCAAGCCATAGTATTTTCACTTGCCTCATGTGCATTGGAAAACTGGACGATGTATAAGGAAAATCTAAGATGTATTAATGCATTTAAATTTTGGGGTTGGCAGAAATATTGAATATACCATGAAATTCCAGTAGAAAATAACAGGTGTTGGTGAGGATGCACAGAAATTAGAACCCTATCCATTGCTTGTGGGAATGCAAAATGGTAGTATAGCCACTGTAGAAAATAGATAGTTCCTCAAGAAGATGATCATAGAATTACTGTTTTTACCCAGCAATCCCAATCTTAGGTATATACCCTAGAGAACTGAAAGCAGGAACCTAAGTGGAAACTTATACACCAGTGTTCATTGTAGCACTATTCACAAAAGGTGGAAACATCCAAAATGTCCATCCACAATGGATGAATGGATAAACAAAATGTGTTACATACATACATGGTACAACATGGGTGAACTTTGAAAACATACTGATCAAAATAAGGTAGCTGCATAAGGAAAAATACTGTATAATCCCATATATATTAAATAGACAAATACATAGAGACCAGAGTTTATTAGTGGTTAGGAGTTTATTAGCAGAGGGAGGAAGAAGGAGTAATTGCTAAGGAAATACTGAGTTTCTTTTAATGTTTGTGGGATAATTTTAAAACGGATAGTGGTAATGATTGCACAACATTAATGGAATTAGTGTCACTGAATTAGATATGGAAGGATTAAATTGGCAAATGTTGTATGTAAGTGTGACAACATGAAAGATAACAGCTAGGAAAAGAGCAAGCTGTGGCATAGATACCGCATTTTTGTAGAAAATAGAAACAAAATGAGTTTATGTATATATGTGTACATATACTCCTTTATAAATAGAAAAAAATGGTCTAGAAGGACTTGGTGTACTTCTTCGGTAATGGGATTTAGAAGTTGGAGGAAGGTAATGGAGGGGAGCTTTCACTTTTATGTTACATGCTTATGCATTACAAAATATTTTTTACATTGATCTTGCATTATGATCATTTGCAATTCAGAGAACCAATAATGAAAAAATACTTAGCTGTTCTAATGCCCTTTTCCTACAGATAATGGCTTATCCAAAAGCACACAGCTAGTGAGTTATACATTTGACATTAGACCCTTGGTATTGTAACTTCTTACTCTGATTTGAGTTTTCTTTTTTTTAAATTAAGCTGTCCAGTGGTTACGTCAAAGGCAAGAGCCTCTCGTAGTTAAGTAATATGCAAAAGTTGGAGGATTCAAAAAATAACTGGGACCTAATAACACCTTTAAGGAGCTCTCGTGATATTGTGGTTAAGGCATTTGGCTGCCAACCAAAAGCTAGTTGCTTCAAACCCACCAGCAGCTCCCTGGAAGAAAGATGAGGCAGTCTGGTTCCGCAGATATATGGCCTTGGAAACCCAGTGGGGATCGCTGTGAATTAGAATCAACTTGATTGCAGAGTTTGGTTTTGAGTTAGTAACACCTTTATTATGGTATTAGAATTTGTTAGAGACTTGACTCAGGCTACTCAGAATCTGGTCCTTGGAGCTATATAAACTGTACCTGTCTGTGAGGAGATAGGCACCCTAGAGGTACGGTGGTTATTGAGCACTTAGCTGCTAACTGAAAGGTCGTTGGTTTGAACCTGCCAAGCTGCTCTGCAGAAGAAAGATGTGACAGTCTGCTTCTGTAAAGGTCACAGCTTTGGAATTCTTACAGGGCTGTTTACTCAGCCCTATAAGGTCACCATGAATTGGAATCCACTCATTTGGGTTTGGGTTTTGGTGATAAGCTTGCACCAGCATGTAAATCATCTCTATCACTAAGCACATAGTTTAGTTCAACTGAGTCTTTTTAGCAAGAAACTCTGGATGTAGGCAGCAAGCTCTTTATTTTGCTATGGGCTCAGTCACCTGGTTTGAAGTATCCAGTATGGTTTTGTAGAAAAAGTTTCTGTCCTATGGCTGGTCTTTTGAATGATTTTATTTCAGAATTACAGTGTTGTGAGATATAAGTACTATTACCTGCTTTTGACAAATAGAAAAAGAGAAACTCAGAAGAATTAAGAGACTTAGCTCAAGTCATATGGCTTGTGGGTGACAGGAATAGAACCTCAGACTTGAGTCCTTTACTCCCAGAGTGGTCTTTGGATTGTGTCATGGCTCCAGCTTAGATCTGCAGAATTTGAAAATTTGTATCTATGCTTAAATAGCCCCACTTGAAAGAAGATGCTAGGAACATTTTGAAAATATTTTGTGACCCTAAGAGGTGATTTACATTTCCCAATAGGACATCAGGATGTCTTCAGCAGTAAGGGGCAGCAGGTCCTGTTCTCTCAGAGTCACTGTGTGGCTCAGACAGACAGCACATAGGATGAACAAGGCCTGGTGTGTCTTCTGTCTGGGACAGAAGTATTCTTTGTTTGCCTCTTTTGTGAAGAATTGGTCAATGAAGAAATTGAATATGTACAAACATCCTTATACTATTCACTGAATAAAAAGAGTATATGACTTTACCTTTTTTAGAATGCTTCCTGGTTTCTCATTGGATTTTAAAACAATCCTAAGAAATGAAATACAGGGCAAATGTTTAAAGGCTTGACCCACTGCAAATGTATTGGGCCAAGAACCTAGGCTTTTCCCTCTCTTCACAGAGATATGTATGCTGATCTGTGAAGACAGGGAAAAACACTGATTGGTACTTACCAGATGTTACAGTTATATAATTATTGCTCTGTTTTCTGACATAGGCTTGTAAAAGAGGAAATTCGGACATTGTGCGGCTTGTGATTGAATGTGGAGCTGACTGTAATATTTTGTCAAAGCACCAGAATAGTGCACTGCATTTTGCTAAGCAGTGTAACAATGTGCTGGTGTATGACCTGCTTAAGAATCATTTAGAAACGTAAGTATGAACTGAGTATGCCATAGTTAAATCAGAAGTGTGTGATATATCTGTTTGGGCAAATTATAATTGGCATGGCCTGTCTATAGCCACTCAGATAAAGATTGTTAAGTATAAGCCCTAGTGAAATTCTCTTCCCAGCAGATTGGAAATGAATTTGACAAATGGCATATGAATTACTTTTCTGCAACTCACTGAGGTCTTATAAACTTACACCCTTATCACTATCATATCTAGGATTATTTCCTTAAAGTCTTAATTTTGCTAGCATGTTTTCTTAAGAACATGCTAGCTTTAGTTCATATTGTTTCAATGGATTCTAAATTATGCTTCATTTTATTTTAAGCTTATTCATCACAATTAGTAATTTGATATCTTTTGGCAGCATAAACAGAAACTCTGGAAGGGAAGGTGTTGATTTTGGGGGGAGGGGGCGGGTAACAGGGCATAATAGTAATAGCAGTTGTAACCACTCTTCTCTCTTCCTGACCCACCATACTTAAGATATGATTTTGTCACACCTGCAAGATGATTACTCCAGTTTTATAGGATTCATTCTAAGCAGAAAGGCAAGGGACAAAACAAATACAATCCAAAAAAGACATGCCATTGGTACCACCCCCTTTGCCAGTAAGGCTGGAAGCCTTACTTGTTGTTGTTGCTGTGTGCCATTGAGTCGAACCCAACTCATAGCAACCCTTCCTTGGGTTTCCGAGGTGGTATCACTGTGGAAGTAGATTGCTCAACCTTCCAAGGAGTGGCTGGTAGATTTGAACCTCCAGCCTTCTGGTTAGCAGTCAAGTGCCTTAGGCACCATGCTACCAGAGCTCCTTAAGCCTTACTTAGCCAGGAATTTTAATGTATCTGTGGTCAGCCCTGGTGCATTTGACCTCTGTATGGCTACTTGGGGTCTGGGAACCCAGTGTTTTAGGAGAGCAAGTTGCCACCTAGAATCAGGTCAGTTTTGTTAGTACAGGAAAAGAAGAGAAAATGGATTTTAAGTGGGAAAATGGGTCTTCTCTGCCACATCTCAAACCCTTTGTTCATATTATCAGTTATAGGTGGCTCACAATTTTACCTGGTTTGCCTGGGACTGAGGGGTTCCTAGGATATTGGACTTTGGGTGCTAAAATGGGCCTAAACAGTTTTCTGACACTTGGCCCTTTCAGTGCTCTAACTAGAATGTCCCCAGCACACTGAATGAGTTGGTCACTCTAGCAGCAAGACAGTTTAGATACTTTGTTGCATCAGTTACCACTAATCACTGTATCTTTCTTTTTCAGCTAAGCCTTTTAACAAGACTTTTCATGAGTGTGGCAATTCTTGAATTTATTTTTTAACAGATTCTCATTCCTGATTTTTAGGTTGATCATTCATTAACTAAACAGATAGGCACTGAACACTGTGAGGCATTGCTCTAAAGGCTAGGGTTATGGATATAGATGGGGTTGGAGCTAGACAAAGACCTTCCCCTCTTAAAATTTACATTCCATTGAGAAATGAACAGTAAGACAGATGTCTAGTATGTCAAATGCTGAGTGTTATAGAAGAAGAAAACATGGAACCAGTGTTTCCATCTCTTTAAAAAGGTTGATCACTGAAGGCCAGAATTGATCTATGGCTCATGGTTCTTTTCTACAACAATATTGACAATTCTTACTATACTTTTTTATTAGACTCTCAAGAGTAGCAGAAGAGACCATAAGGGATTACTTTGAAGCACGTCTTGCTCTACTAGAACCAGTTTTTCCACTAGCATGTCATCGTCTCTGTGAGGGACCAGATTTTTCAACAGATTTCAATTACAAGCCCCCCCAGAACATACCAGAAGGTAATCTGTGTTTTCTTTCTGAAAAGTGACACTATAAATATTAACTGATATTTAGACTATTTTTATACAGAACCCTTCCTTTGAACAAAACCTTAAGGAAATTCCATTGTGCATAATAATGATGTAAACTCTTTAACAGCAGAGCCACTCTGACAGAAGAAAGACCCAACTGGTATTTAACATCCCAGGTGACTCTGGGAAGGTTACATTGGGCACTGTGCTAACCATCATTTAAGAATCAAGTGTTAAGGAATAAAGGATAGTATTTATGCAAGTTGAGTCTTAAAAATACTGTTTTTATAGACTTACTAAAATTTAGCTTCAGGATTTGAAGCCCAGAATCAACATTTTTCCTGAATTTTATTATTACTAATAGTATATGGATTAATATGCCCTATTGCAGATAATTTAAAAATAAATAAATGTCTTCCCCTACAGTAAAGTTTAGTAGCAAGAGAAAGAAACATCAGTGCTACTTCCTAGTCTCCACTTAAGAGCTGCCTTTTTAGGCAAATCATGGCCATTCTGGGACTCAGGTACTACTTGTGTAAGTGCAACTAACACTGACTCTCCCTGAAGGCAGGAAGCCTGGCTCTGACTTTTGTTGTATTAGAAAAGTCTGCCTACAGTTAAGAAATAATAGTTTTTCATTGACCCAAAGGGTTTTCTTGCCTATAATCTTTGTGGAAACCAATACCCAGGGCTTTCTCCCAAGGAGCTGCTAGGTGGGTTTGAACCACCAGTCTCTTGTTTAGCAGCCTAGCGCTTAACCATTGTACCACCAGAGTTCCTTAGTTACTCATTAATGAAAATTTTAAAGAAAATAATAGCCTTACCAGTTAAAGGCAGCTATTCTTTGTTTTTATCTTCCAGTAATACTGTGTTTTCGGTGAAGGTTTACATAGTATTCAGGTTCCCATTCAACAATTTCTACACAAATTGTTCAGTGACATTGGCTACTTATCTTCACAATGTATATACATTCTCATTTCTGTTCTGATTGTTCTGTTTCCATTAACCTAGTTTCCCTATTCACTTATATTCTCATCTTTGTTTTCAAGTTGACCATTTGGTCTCATATAAGTAATTTTTTAATGGAACACAGTACTTTCTGACAATATTTATTATTTTTTGAACCAGTCTCTACAGGATGACATCAGGTTAGTTTTGGTTCAAGATTTGAAGAGTATCTCAGAGAAATAATCTCAAGGAATCCTCCAGTCTCAACCAATCCACTAGGTCTGGTTTTTCATTGTTTTTGTTGTTTTAGGAATTTGAGGTCTGTTCCACAGTTTTCTCCCATTCTAACCGGGTCCATCTGTTGTGTCCCTGGTTAGAATGGTTGGTAGAGGTAGCCAGGCACTATCTAATTCTTCTGGTCTCAGACTAGAGGAGGCCAGGGTTCCCGTAGTCTATTTGCCCTATAGACTAGTTGCTACTTTGAGTCTTTGGTTTCCTTCTTTTCTTTTGCTTTGGACAAGTAGAGACCAATTGTATCTTACTTACATGGCTGTTCGCAAGCCTTTAAGACCCCAGACACTACTCACGAAACTAGGATATAAAACATAATTTTATGAATTATATTATGCCAGTTGACTGACATATGTCCCATGAGAGTATGGTCGTAATCCTTCTAACCCAGAAAACCAATCCTGTGAGGAGTTTTGGTTATGTGTGAATATCTGTAACTGTACTCCCTATAGGCTTTATTATAAATATGAATGTATGTGCATGCAGTCACATATATGCATATACATATGATCCATTCCATTGTCGTCAAGTCTATTCCAACTCACAGCAACACTATAGGGCAGAGTTGAGCTACCCCATAGGGTTTCCAAGGCTGTAAATCTTTATAGAAGGGGAATACCACATCTTTGTCCTGCAGAGCAGCTGGTGAGTTTGAACCACTGACTTGACCTTTCAGTTATCAGCCAAGTGCTTAACCACTGCACCACTAGGGCTCCTATGTATATGCATGCACCTACATATATATGCATTTACTCTCATATACCTACCTATACATATATATGCCTACATACATGCCTGTGCACTCACACATACATATTTTATGCTTTTGTTGCTATTTCAAAATTTTATACTCAATAGTAATTACCAACTGGTCCTTATTTCTTTTATACTTTTTAAGTAACATCATTTATCTTTGTCAACCTGTGTATACTTCACCCTGATTTGGTGTTGCTTTTCCCATCACCAAAAATAACAAGTGTGTCTACTGTCTAGAGAGTGAATCTCTTTCTCCTCTACCCCAACAGTCACTGATAACCACTAATGAACTTTAGTTTCTAATATTTACCTGTTCATGTCATTTCTTAAAAGTGAGAGCATACGTATTTGGAGTTTTTTTGGTGATTGACTTAATTCTCTCAACACAGTGTCCTCCAGGTTCATCCATGTTCTGAGATGTTTGAGGAACTCGTTTTTATTGCTGAGTAGTATTCCATTGTATGTATGTACCACATTTTACTTACCCATTCATCCACTGGTAAGCACTTAGGTTGTTTCCATCTTTTTGCTCTTGTGAATATGCTGCAGTAAACATAGGTGTGCATGTGTCTGTGTCCCTTCTATTTTAGAGCCCTAGGAGTGGAATTGTTGGGTCATATAGCAGCTCTGCCTCTCTTTTTTTTTAAGAACCACCGACTGTTTTCCACAAGGATTGTACTATTTTGCACTCCCACCTGCAATGGATGAGGGTTCCAAATCCTCTTCAATACTTACTATTTCTCCAAATCCTCTCCAATAATTACTATTTTCCGTTTTTTTTTTAAATCTTAGTCACCATAGTGAGAATGAAAGTGTATCTCAGTTGTTTTGATTTGATTTGCATTTCTCTGATAGCCAGTGACATTGAAAGCATCTTTTCATGTGTCTTGGCTCTTTAAATGTTTTCTTTGGTGAAGTTTCTGTGCGTATCCTTTGCCCACTTTTCTATTGAGTTCTTTGTGTTTTTGTTGTTAATTTATAGAAATTTTTTTAATATATTTTAGATATTAGATCCTTATCAGTTGTATTGTTCCTAAAGATTTTTTTCCCCAATCTGTAGGTGGTCTCTTTACTCTTTGATAAAGTCGTTTAATAAGCATAACTGTTTTACTTTTATGAGGTCCCAGTGATCTATTTTGTTTTCTGTTGCTCATGTATTCTTTGCTGTTTTTCTTAATCTGTCATGGAAAAAAATTAGATCCCAAAGCATTGGTGCTGTATTTTCTTCGAAGAACTTTAATGGTTTTAGATTGAACATTTAGGTCGTTGGTCCATCTTGTATTAATTTCAGTGTATGGAATAAGGTATGAATATTGTTTCATTTTCTGCTAGAAATCCAGTTTTACCAACACCATTTGTTGAAGAGACTGTTCCTTCTCCATTAAAAACAGTTATTGGTATTCTTAACATTTTAGTAGTTAGTGAACTTGGCATTGGGGAATTATAAATTGTGTGTTTGACTGTTCACATTATCCCTCATAATTTCTAAAGCTTAAAAATAGATTATATGTATGCTGGATAGGCAAGCAAGCATAGATGAGCTGAAATGGCCCCTTTGGTAATGCTTGAGGTGGACCAGTTGCCCACTATCTGTTATTATTACTCCAGTAGTATATTCTATAGCTGGATGAATTTGAGGTTACAGAGCACTGAGCTGAAGGAAGTTGCATGATAAAGCTAGAAAGCAAAATCAAATGTCAGAGCATAAATAGCTTGGGGAAAAAATAAAAGAAACTCACTGCTGTCAAGTCGATTTCGACACATAGCGACCCTTCCTTGGGTTTCCAAGGCAGTATCTCTACAGAAGTAGATTTCCCAGTCTTCCTTTCAAGGAGTGACTGGTGGATTTGAACCCCCAGCCTTCTGGTTAGCTGTCAAATGCCTTAGGCACTACACCACCAGAGCTCCCTTATATAGCTTGAAAGGAGAGAGAAAAAAAGGAAGGGTCCCAGACTTCTTTTTTCTTTGGGAACAGAGCACACACATAGCAAATGGATCTTTGCGACGTCTTTTATAGTCTCTTCTTGTAGATAACTGGCCTAGATCAATGTATCATGTTAAAAATGGTTGGTTTACCAGAAAAGTTATTAAACTCATATACTTATATATCAGTATTACTGAAAGTACAGCATTTGTTCAAAAAACTAAATTTTACAAAATGTTTTGGATATTCATTCAGTAAAAACTTCAAATTTCATATGCTAAATTTTTTTTCAAAATTAGATTTTTTTTGTTACTAATTTATCAAAAAATTTAGAAGAGGCAAAACAATATGTAGGTGAAAAAAAGGGAAAATTACACAATTCCACAGCCATAGAGAACCGCTATAGAAATATCCATGGATTTGTTTCATGAGCATTACTGTGTTCAGCAGCAATTTTTAGCCAAACATAATACCAATTCAGGTTTCTAAATGTACAGGTCAGTGACAGTAATTACATTTGTTGAGTTGTACAGCCATTCTCACTATTCTTCTCTCGTTAATATAACCCTACTGCCTTCTAATGTTCGTATCTGATTTTTAAAGTTGCTGTTGTCAATTTAATCCTATGTAAATATTTCTTAAAAGAGCATATTCTTAAAAGAGCATAATACTCAAGGCAGAGCTTTTTTTAACTAATTAAGATAAACTGTT